CAAAAGCAGGCAATACCACGCATTTTAAACCACCTAAAACACAACCACCCCATTCCGTTTTCCCAGCTGGGAGCAAACACGGCAGCTGGAGATGGAGAGCCCCCGCCCGACAATGCAAACATTGTTGGTGTTCCTTGCTCGAAAACTTAGAAAAACAGATTTGGATATGGCCTGTTGAGGCATCTGGGTCTTTGACAGTGGACTGTACACTTGACTGTTGTTTTAAGGAGGTTTTTTTTGCTTGTGAGATAATGTGTGCTCATATTTATTTATTTATATATATATATATATGAGAGAGAGAGCTCTGTTTTCCAGCCTGAGTCTATTTAATTTATTGTTTTGGTTGTGTGTGATTTAATTAATTTATTATAATTTAATTAATTGGTTTTATTTGTTATATATAATTTATATATTTTAATATTATTTCACATTTCATTTGCAATGTTGAATGTTCAATAAAAAGTTATGTTTGAAAGGATGTAGTTGAATTATTATTATATATTATCATTATGTCTAAAATGGTCTTAAAACGGTGCCGACAATATTATCGTTTATCGCAATAATTTCCAGAAAAATTTATCGTCCAACACAATTAATTATCGTGACAGGCCTAGGCAGTGTTACTTCTTTCAATGACAATTATGGGCTTTTCTTTTGGGCTTGCATCTGTAACCCAGTCTTGCAAACTAGGACAGTCTAACATGTCTAAAAATACTTAAAATAGGCGTTAAGTTGTAAAAGAGGCGCAAATATACAACTATTATTTACAAGATATATAAAAATACATATCCAAAAACAAGTATAGTAGTAATATAGTAAATCATTGATAAGTAAGAAGATATAAGAGTTTAAGAGAGTTTTTTAAAAGTGTGGTTTCTTTACTAGAAGATGTTGTGTTTCCAAAGCGTACCTGAACAGTCCCATGAACCGGAGCTTCTGGGTCATGGAGTAGTAGATCTTGTGCTGTGGGTACCAGTCATACACCTCCTTCCTCTGGGCCATGGGAGGCTCCTGGAACAGCTGCACCACCTTCAGCGACCTGGAGTCAGTCGGACGCGCCACCTCCCCGAAGATCTGTGCGCTCAGTCTGGCCATGCGTATGGCATAGCTGGACAGACTGGCCATGACTGCTGAACAAAGCAGAGAGAAGACCTCAACCCTGAGACAGGTAGAACATTTATGCAGAAATAGTTCAAGCATCTCAAAATGTGAGAGCATGTCATGTTGGCTATTAGAAATGTGTTACATATATATACTATTTATACAATTGTGATCCTATAGGATTATTATTTTATCAATACAATAATAATTTTAACCTTTAGCTATTATCATTAATATTATTATTAAAGTTGGTAGAACAGTTGGAGGACATATCTAAAGAAAGAGTAAAAATACGAGATGTGAATGGTGTTATACAGTAGACAGTAGATATTTATTTCAACCAGAACCATGCTAGCCCTGCTCAAATAAAAAAGCATGTTTTTTTAAATAGATTTCGTTTATTGCAGCAGTATTGCATTAAATCAGGAATATTGAACATCTTTCTTTTTACTTATTGTGGTAAAATGATCTTCAAGGAGCAATGCAAAACTGATGTTTTTACATTAAACAAAACCCAAGTACCCTCTGCAGTACCCCAACGTAATACTCTACAGTATGAAAGAGGCCATCTTGTCAGTCTAATGAATGTTTAAACCTTTAAACAACCACGCTGACTAAACAATGTGAGTTCATGTGGATGGATATGATTTTAGTGGTTTACTGGTTGTATTTAAGCCAGAAACCTTGATGAAACCCCCCTGGTCCCCTGTAACAACACGATGAATAACATCACTTCACATGTGTCCAGTTAGTCTTCTTAACAGTGATAACATGGTCTCTTACCTGAAGCCTGTGCGATAGTAACACCGTTGTAAAGTGACACAATTTGTAAACGCTAGTAAAACGAACCAAACTTTAGTTAAATGGCAGTAATAGTTAAGTTTACTGACGTTTAGCTGGCATTAACCTTCACACGCCATACTGCCATCACAAGCTCTAGTGCGCATGACTAGTTTTTCGTGAAGTTGATTGGTTGGTTGCTTTCACTTCCGGTTCAATGGTAAAGCGGCGATATTAACCAACAACATGAAACATAATTTATAAAAAACAGATATATGTGTCAAACGCGGTCAAACGTAACGTCAAATGTAACTAGTCAACAATGATAGTCTGTCCTTATTGATAAAGTCTGATAAATATCGAATGCAGGAGGTCCGTCCTTCTAAGAGTTCCGACAGATGTGACAGCTTCTACTCAAAGTTCCAATTCCAGCCATTCATTATCTATTATTTTACACACAATAAATATTGTTCTGGTGTTATTGTGCTGTATGTGTTTATGAAAATAACCAATAGTATTTGTATTTGTTTGCAGCCCGGTGGGCGCGGCTCAATGACGTCATTAAGGTACGACAGGTAAAGCAACCGAGCTTAAAGGTCCCATGTCATGCTTTTCCGGTTATTACCCGTCCCCTTGTGTGTTATGAAGATTTTTATGCATGTAAACGGTCTGCAAAGTCAGAAACCCCCAAAGTACACCCTGTAGCGAGTATAACTCTAACACAGAAAGTCCTGTCTATGCTGCCCCAGAACGCCTCTTCTTCTTCGTCTTCTTTGTTTAATGGTGAATCGCTACCACTTGGAGCATTTATCGCCACCTACTGTTGATTTATTGAATGTTCATGTTACATCCTTGTCCTCAGATATGCCTCAGGCCAATGTTTTTGAGAAACTTGAAGATCAGTTTGTTAACTTCATTTCTTCAGTTCTGGTATTTCATTTAACATATAGGTCTTGAATTATTGTCCATTTGCTATAAGGCTTCTAGCATTCCACCACAGAATAATAGAAACCATTAAACTATTCACTAATCTGTGAGTCATCATTATTGGAGGCTAGCATATCATGTAGCATCTCAACAGTTATATCCTTTACCCCCCAAAATGCACATGCTGCTTCCACTATTGTTTTCAGTCTTGACTTCTTTTTTTGTTTGTTGCAAAAGCAAGATTCACCGCTTTTCCAATGAAGGCCACAAATGTGTACTTAATGTAATTAATCCATCCTCTTCTATCACACACTTATGTGAACACTTTGTGGAGCTTTCCTTTGCCTGTGGGAGTTTGGGAAAATCTTTTGAAGAGAATATACTTGCTGCTATAGGTACTTCCTAACTATGTTTAGTGATACCTGTTCTGTTGCTTCAGCATATGAGACTTTGTTTTGTACTTTGTATCTCTCTACCTCCTTTGCCTTTTTCTGCCCATCGCAGCCCTGATACGCAGCACTATGTTCCCCACCACAGTTACAACATTTCAGCTTAGCTCCTGCAGCACAACTACCATATTCATGTTTCCCCGCACATTTTGGACTCCTAGGCTTTGTTGCTTTGCACTTGTCTGCCACATGCCCAAACCTTTGGCATTCAAAGCAGCGCAGAGGTTTAGGGCTGAATTCTCTTACTGGAAAGCTCACGCAACCTATCATTATCATCTGTTGAATTTTTTTCTCATACTGAAGAAGAACAGACAAACTATCCACTATTAATTACACGACAGATAATAAAGAATATGATGCCAATCTGTGTCATGCATTTTTTTCTTCAAACCTTTCATATTTTAAATCATGTTCAAAATGAGCTGAAAGTAAAGCTCCTCTGAGTATATAGTAAGTTGTATTCCTTTCTTGCATTGATCAATCATAGACCATAACCAGAGTCTGTACTCTACATTACATGTGTATATATTGCAGTTACAATTTATTAACAGAGGAGGGCGCCAGATATGAAGAAACAGAAAACTGCTACCATAGATTTTTCTAGACATTTTATAAGCTTCACCGTCCTGCACACCAGAGTGATGCTGCCTGACATGAAACACATTCAATATATGGGCCATGAGAGCACCGTATCTCAAGGAGAGGTAATACTGCAATGAGCAAACGTTTGGGACTTGTCTGCTGTTGGGTTACACCAGAGCAGCTTTTAATTGAATAACCCTTACTGTTATTTTTAAGCATTTGTGCCCAGTGGCTCATTATCTCATAACCTGCCTTTGGCTACCACCAGTGGGGATACAAGTATGAAGTTTGTCCAGGGATCAGAATTTGATTTATTGCTGGTGAGTATCAATATGATACAGAAAAGGCCATAGGTTAATTAAAGCTAATCATTTATTTTTGGCCACTTGGGGCAGCACAACAAGAGGTGAAGGCTAATATAATATCACCTCATAAAGTTGCTAATTTACATTTAGCCATCTGGGATTATACACAACTTTTTTCTTTCTATTAAAAAATGTTATTAAAGGTAAATAAATGTGCCATTGAAAAAGGAATCAAGTTTTGTAGGACTTCAAACTGCAAATAAAGGCAAAGGTAAACCTTAATAGTAATAGCAGCGCAATAATAGTATAAGAAATAGTTGTAATTATAGTTTAGTAAAGTTAATATATAGCATTAACTAATTTTGCATAGAGCCCTGCCTAAAAAGGCTCGGGCCAGCACTCCTCTAAAAAGGTGTAGGCCCATAATTAACCCAAACAAAGTAAACAATTTTAAGTCCAGGGTATACTGCATCATAATTTACACGAGCATATCATGCTTTTTGTATTTACAAAGAAGCTAGAATCTATATTAGTGGCTCGAAACTAGCTAAGTGGATAGTAACTAGCACTCAAATTTGTAGGCTAAGTGTTGGATTAACGTAATGGAGTTTTACGTAGGCTATGGCTACAACATTTGCCTTGAAAATATATTGGAAGAAGTCATGGTAGAAGTTGCCTAAATGTGAGCACAAGAACTTAAGTACAATACTTGAGTTGATTTGGCCCACTTTTTTTTAAATTCCACCACTGTTAGTTTGTCTAATCAAATCTCATGTAGCATGTAAGCTAACTCGGTGCTCCTCCACACAGCTGGCCGTTGATTGGACCACGGGCAGGCCGTCATCCTATCAGACGTGCTGGGGATGCTGACTGATCCCTCTTCCCTCTCCTGCTGATGGACTGCGGTCTGCATGGGCTCAATTTGGATAGACCAGGTAGGCTATATCTAAGCGGTTCCCGCCATGTACGTCGTATAATGCTGCTGTTTTAGTAGGCTATGCCATTGTATTGTAAATAGGCTTCTGCTAAATCCTGCTGCACGATTTTCTCTAGCAGTTTCTAAAGCTGCCCCCGTGTTTGTCCATCGTTTGATTTAGTGACGGTTTTGCAGTGAGGGTGCATTTGGTGTGAATGATAATATGCTTGACTAGACTCGAATGCTGTGCTTAGTGTGTTTGTTGGTGTCGCCCTGTTTAGACGGATGGATGCTGAAGATGAGATGAGATAAGCGTCCTCTGTCTCCGCCGAGCTGCTGCAAAGCCACGCATGAAGAGACGTTGTCACCGCGAAGCCCACACCACCGGAATAAGAGGAATAAACTGTGTCTGTCAGTCAATGAGGTTTGCCTTCTCTTTCCACACCTCGATCATGGTCCTGCTCTCCAGAGGTGATGTGAGCTGAAGTCGCGGGGAAGCCGCAGAGGAGCTGTCCGTCTGTCGAGGTGCTGATGCGGCTGTGACAGCATGGCTGCCGGGAAGTTGCTGCTCTACGCCGGGCTCTCTCTTTCTCTCTGCGCCCTGGGCATGCTGGCTGTGGCGATGTGCTCCGACCACTGGTACGAGACCGACGCCAGGAGATACAGGGAGCGGTGCCGAAGTTTTTCCAGCCGCCGCAAGGACCCGGGCTTCATCTACATCCCCAACAACAGCCTGCCCCTGCGGGCCAGCCGGAGCAGCCTGCCCCGCTGGGAGGAGAAGCTGCTGCTGGCCCGGAACCGGCGGCAGCTGTTCGCCATGAGCGCCGCGGATGAGTGCAGCAGGCAGTATAACTCTACAAACATGGGGCTGTGGAGGAAATGCCATCGAGTGGGCTTCGACCAAGAAATGGAAGACCAGATCCGGAAAGGTAGGAATGAATTAAACATGGAGTTATTATTGTATACATATCAGACACAATAAGGATGTGACATGTATCCAGAAAATGAATTAGATTGGTGATTGATTATGTGACCAAAGGGCGAACAAGGGCATGGAGCTATTTTCTAACTAATGTTTGTCCACATCTTCACTGTCTATATGAGTGAGTTGGTATGAACGTCCTGTGGTATAAGCATACAGACTGTTTGGGCTCATGCTATGTTGCAGGAAAGGGGTGCATGTTAATTGTGACGCTGGCTAAAAGTAGTCTAGTATACGTGATCTTATTGTAGAAGTGGTGCTCTTCTGACCCTACAACTGCAAGTAATGACATAATCATTTCATGGTGTATGGGCTTGTCAGTAACTCAAGAGTAAGTTGATTTGTCCCAGAAGCCTTTGCTCTGTGTCTAGAGACTGACTGACATAGGTCTAAATGTACAGTATACAGGGCTGTGGCTGTAATCACTTAGGGTCCAAAAGTGAGATGGTTTAACTAAAGTAAATCCCAATTTCCCCCCACACTCTGACATGTGTAGCCTATAGTATTCTTAATGCTGGAATAATACAAACTTTACACAGATAGGTATCTGCTCAATACCCACAGTATCACAGTGTTAAAACTACATTTCTGACATAGAAAAGGGTCTAAGGGCTTGTTTTTGAATCAGGTAAAATACACAACATCTTCTGTTTGCATTTTCAAAAAATAAAATAATTGATTTATGGACGGTGTTTTATATTGTTGTCCTCAGCAAACACCTTCAGTTTCTTTGTAAAGTCTTATTTATAAATATTTTTTGAGATAGAAACTAATAGTTGGGAATAAAAAGTCTGCTTAATATAGACTATATTTAACCAGGACCTTTTAAAAACCTGAACACAAACAACAAAACTTGATGGACTTATTAGATTTGTCATCAACATTATATTATTGATCTATAGATGTTTTCCTTATGGCCGTGAAACCTACTGAGCATTTCAAATGTAAAAATCAATGTTTTAAGCCGGGTCAATCAAGTGGTCTTTGGTGGACAATCTATAAATTGGGGACCCTGTTTGTATTACATCTGAATGATCGGTCTTGATTTAATAATGGTCCAACAAAATGAGAAGTCATAAGACAAAACAACCTGTCATTATTTTAGACATGCTCTGAAATAAACATTTAATCCTGGGGTTCCCAACATTCCAGGAAACATGATGAAATATTACTGAGCTGATCCAGGATATGAGGGTCATCATAGCAATCGCAGTATGAAACATAACAGTTAATCTATCGTTCAATTGTCGGTAAATCCTAGAGTTCATTCAAACAACCACCGTGATTCCTGTTTTCCTGACCAACGTTAAAAGTAATCATATAATCTGAACTCAAATACAAGTTTTGATGTGTGTTCCCGGTGCTGCAAAGACTTGTTTTGTGTTAAAAGACAGTCATGTTTCTGATGGAGGCTGCTGGATGAGGCGAGGGTGTGTGTGCTCTTTGAATACGTGCGTGTGTGTGCTGCAGCTGTGCTTTCCTTTGAGGACGCCTCAATGGTCTTTATGGCTTACCATCTGCAGTAATGGGCAGCCCACAGTGAGTGTGCTCAGTGATCAGATGAATGCCTCCATAGAGGGGTTTGATCTGTTCCAGCTCTCAGCTCCATCAGCATGGAAAAGTACAGCGCGGTTTATGATCATGATGAATTTGACAATAACTTCACCTTGATGGGTCAATAAGGATGCAACCGTGGAGATTATTTATGTGTGTGGGTGCTCTACATGAGCAATAATGGAATCAACTCGCACTTACAGCTCACATTCAGCTATAGTGACTTTCCAGAAGCCAACCACAACGCCTAGCAACATCAATTACACCTATTAGCACAATTATTGTTACTATAACTACTAGTACTTATCTGCTCTACTACTGCCACACATCCTGCCCCTTCTACTTCTATTCCTTCTATTGGTCCTGCTTCTTGTTCTGCTAACGGTTCTACTTCTATTGCTACTGCTGCGACTACAACTGTTTCTACTGCCACTGCTATTGCTATTACACATATTTAGCACATATATAAAGGTTTATCAAACAAGGGAAATCTTGCTTGGATAGACAATAAAAACCTTTACCATTGGCAGTATGAGTATACTATTTCTTTCTGATGCTTCACATTCAGTGCCATTTAAAAAGTTGTGACACTACATGATTTCGCTACCAGGTAGTGATATCATGAGAACAACCACGCACACAACCATGCAAACAATGTCAACAATCAGTCCATTACCATGGTTTCATTTGTTGATGAACTAAGAGAGGAAGTGTTAAGAAAGAAATCTTCTACAGCAAATAATTTGAGCAAAATTTAGGTCAATTAACGTGACATAACATCTCAGCTAGCAAAATGTTGCTAACAGCCATCACAATCAATCTTAAATTAGATATTGTCCTCACTAAACCTAGCTCTAAATTCCTTAAAGATAAGCTAATGTTAATATGATAGAAAATGCATAATTTCATCAACTCGACAGTGAATTTTCTTGGTCGCTCCATGACATTTAGATTTCAACAGAAGTCTATGTGAGTGTCGTTACTCTCTTTTAAAAATGGATCCACTCTTGATCAAAGTCACAAACAGTGTTAGTAAACAGTGATAGTTACTTTCTATTGACTACTTAATCTCTCTTTCATACTCTCTAACCAGATTTGCTAATTGTAGGATCAACTGAAAGAACAACAGTGATGGTGTCAATGAGATTTATTGTTTTATTAGCTTTTGAAATAAGTGTGTTTTATGATCATCAGGAAGTTCAATTGCTTTTGTCTGACTAGGGCCTGGTGGTTTTAAGGAGAGCATATTAAGTGTGTGTTGATACATTATAATAATTGTCAAAATCCTTGAATCTCTATTTGTTAAATATTTCCTTAAATGCTCTTCATCAGAGCATTGAGCCAGATATTCCTTCCAGGAACAAATGCCAATTGCATCCTTTCCCACTGGAAACAAAAGCCAGATTTAGTGGGTTATTGAACCAAGTGGGCAACTGGAAATGGAAAACCTTTCAACCCAAACCAAATGTACAGTGACTTTCAGTGACATATAACATTATGAGCCTTGTCTACTGTTAACATGTGTTGTAGAAAGAACATAATACTCATTTTTAAGGGATTTTGGGAGGTCAAAGGTCACTGCAAAGCCTTCCCCGCCACATGCTGTTTCACTTTTATCCATTTTAATCCCCACAGTCAAATCATAGCTTTACAAACGGTACGTTTTCTGTATCTACATCCACTTACCGGCCCGATTCTGCCTTTTCATAATGACTCTTCTTCTGTCTTACCATTTATGTCGAAATGACAGAAAGTAATTTAACATCCGTTGGAATAAGATAATTCAGTTTTTATATAAATAAACCGACACTCGTTTTTGTATGTGAGGGATGATTCATAATCCAAAGGCCCTTGATTATATCTCTGATCAATACTGATTGACGTTTACCCTCATATTTTACAATTCCGATACTTCAAACTCCCCGTCGTCATCCATCCATCTAGCAACAGACAGATTTATAGAAGCTGGAGGGGGAGGGGGAAAAGCCCTGGTCTTTATTTCAGTGTCCCAGTTACAGTTAGAGTAGCTGTGTGTTAGGTTATATAGATTGGGTGAGTGTAGTTTATTTGAACAGTGTTAGATAGAAGATGACCAACTCATCCCATATTCAGACAACCGATCACAAGTATTCCGCTGTATCCAACTAATATATAATATTCCTATGTGATAAAGATTTTAAAAACACATCAATGAGCAACACTAGGAGACATTTTCCTTTACTCCGTCCCAAAAACACATGGTTGTTTTGAACTCAATCCCAAATAAACCGTCCTTCCTTATACTTATTTTTGGAGCACTAAATGTGGAAATGTTCTGGCACCAAAGATTGTTCCCAACAAATGCAGTATAACCTTCTGTTAGACTATGTTTTCTGAAAGCTACTGGCCCGCAGTACTAGGACGTACTGAGCCTTAAACATTTTTGTATTTGTGAGGCGAGATTTACGTCTTCAATGGATCCAATAGTCATGAAGCTGGGAGCCATTTTTACAGACAATTTGTATACAAGAGACATACAAAACTCTTGTGTCCCACACTGGACAAATGGCTTTGTATTTACTCACTTATGACAGTGTAAAATATTACTATGTACCATTTTTAGCTTCTCTTCCACTACACTTCAGAGACAGCTATCTATTACCAGGCATTACATTACATGGCAGCTATCATTTTAAATCACTTTGCTTATTGAGATTTTTCTTGAAAATGGTATGATCAGTTTATGAACTATGGGGGTCATTGGCTATAGAGTATTTATACTGTTGTTACTTATTCGAATGAATGCTTCATTGTATATAAAGTTAAATAAACATCAGTGTGCTGTATGTACTTTACATATGAGCTGCAACGATAAATCAACTAATTGATAAATTGACAAATAATCTGCTAGTATTTGAGATTTTATTTATTTTTATTTCTAAAGCAGAAATGGGAAAAAAAAAAATGTCTTGAATATTTTTTAATTTGGGTTTTTGGCTGATGAAACAAGACATTTAAAAAACCAAAACCTTGATTTGAATAAATTGGGATTACACATTTTTAATGGGATTACATTTTTTTTTAGGGAAAGATAGATTGAAATAACTATTGAAAGATGATTCGATAATGAAAATAATCATTACTTTCAGACCATAGTAAATACAACATATCTGGACATATTGATATTCTCACAGTAACTATATTATAGTAGCAATTCAACGGGACCTCATAATACAGAAAAAGGATCTTGATATGTTCTGAGTTGACCTGCATGTTTTTTGTGCAGTCATCCCCTCTTCTAAATAGGTCACTGCCATACCAGCATCTAATCATTGTTGTTAATTCACCAGACAACTCATAAACTGAACAGTTGGCATATGTCAGCGGTTTCTGATGCCGTGTCATGAGCAGGAT